AGAATAAACCTCACTGCTGTGACATATGGGCTGATATACACGGACTGGGTCCTTCCAAACTCCCCCGACCTTGCACAGCTAACCAGGGCTGGTCAATGGACACAKGGATGCCCTGGAAGTGCCAAAATGAACCCCTCAGCTGCTGCCTTTGTGCTGGCTGTTAAATGCTTTGATACCTGTGGTGTGAATAAGGGACTATTGTGTCACTGTGCAGAGGCCTCAGTGGGGTTTCCGGTACCCAGGCAGGTTGAACGTTACCCAACTGAAGTGATGGTCTAGGGAAGCGACCCGGAGGGGCTGGGGCAGGGGGGAGCTAAAAATTCAGTCTCGCCGAAGGAAACAATGGCCCAGATATGTGCATGTGTCTAGTCGATGCCTCCTTGTGGAAGGGCAGTCTGGAGACATTTACAGGTGGGATCCAAGCGAAGTGGGACGAGCTCCGCTGCCCAACAGCAGCTTGGAACAACTTTGTCTGGGAGGGAGGTGATGGGGATGGCTCATTTGGTTGCTTTGATTCCCATTTCAGTCTATAGGTGACTTGAGGGGTGAGTCAGCTGGATGCAATACCAAAAGCAGGGTGCTATGCGCGCCCTTATATGTGTTTTTAGCGGATGGGTGGGAGCCCAGGAGCACGTGTTGCGTACTGCCCTTGTGCAGCTGGAGCAGCGCTTGTGATTGCATCTGCAGAGCGCTTATTGCTCAGGTAATGGTCATAGCAGCTCCTCCTCTGGGGKGGGATGTGTCAGGTAAAGGAATTACAGACAGGCTGCGCTGGAGCGGTTTGCCAGCGTGAGACATGTGCTAGTTACACACACATCCGTGGGCTCGCGAGGCCTGGCCTTTCCAGGCGAATGGAGTGCCCTTCAGGAAGCGCTTAGTGCTTTGCAGCTCAGGATCAAAGGGAGATGAAGAAATAATAGACACAATATTTTTGGTATTGTAAGCAAACACTGGGTCAGCGAGACCTGCAAACAGCTCCTCACAAATATATATTTCCATCTGGGACCACACACGCCAACCCACTGAAAGAAGCAAACGGAACGAGCAGAAATCCCAGCAGAAATGCTACGAATGGAAAACTTGGAGTGCCAGAACTTAGAGCCGAGCTGGAATGAAGCCGGAATGGCTACGATTCCAACCCTGGCTGCTGGAGATTCTGGGTCTGGAGTCTAAACTGAGCTGATGGCCAAAAATAGTGTTTCTTCCTTTTATTTCTCACAGCAAGGATGCTGAGCGTTTGGGACCAGTGAAGCCAGATCGGTGCCCATGTGGATTTGAATGTGCCACTTCTGGAAGCTTTGGAGGAAGTGCCTGGTATTTAATGRGAAGTCCATTCTGGAGAATGCAAGCTCTGCCTGAGCTTAAATGGCCAGTGAAGGGCCATGGGGTCGCATGGAGGCTCTTACCCCTCCGATGGGCACAGCGCAGCCCGCCTTGGAGTGGGACTCTCGGCTGGAGAGTTTGAGGTGGATCCAACACAGGTGGATTCCATGGAGCTACTCTTTTGGTAGCTCAGCAGTCATTTGTCTTGCAATGTTGTCCTAGACATCCTGAGGAGGAGAAGAACCTCCCGGATCTGCTCTAATGCTGCACCCCAGGGGCAGAGCAGCGAGATCCAGTGCTCTCCCCAAGGCTCTTGCTCCGCATRGGCCCCACGTTGTGATTTAACGAGCCCGGGGGAGCCAGGGGCCCCACGGACACCTGGAGGTGCCGGCCTGGAGCGGGGGCGTCCGCCGCACCCCCGCCGCGAGCGCCTGTTAATAAACTCCGGGCCGTATATGAGCAAGTGAAAGGCAAGTGGTGAAAGGGCCCGTGTAACGTTACTAATCCCGCGGCCGTGCTCGCTGCAGACGCGAGGCAGCCTCGCCGCTCTTGTGTCCTCGCGCTGCAGCTGCTTCCTTCACCCGCCTGCTCTTGTTAGAGCACAACCCGACAGGGTAATTCCCGCCCGGAGCAGGCAGCAGGTCCGCGATGCCACCGGGAAGAGGTGTCCGCAGGGCTCGTCTGGCTGCTTTGCTCCGATATTCCTGCTTCTGGGAGCGCGATTCCCTTCGGACCCATTGCACGTGCTAGAGTGAAGGCCCCGGAGATCACCCAGCAAAACCGGCCTGTGGGTTGTTAGCAGCTCTAGGCAGGGCAATTTCCTATACATATCCCTGTGCATATGTATGTTTTAAAAACACTCCAACAGTTTTTGGTTCAGCATGCAGGAAAGCTGCTGGTGTTTCTAGTGCCGTTTCCTATTGCAGCTGCAGCACCGCGAAGGGCAGCGGATGCTCCTCCTGCTCTTGGGAACTCTACCAACCTGCCTGGGACTGTGGGTTTAGAGGCTTTCAAAAMCAAGCTCTGTCAGTTTTTCCCTCTTTAGGGTTTAAATCCATGTCTCCAGCAGTGACGCTGTTTGAGGAAACGTTTTGGGTTAGTTGGAATGCCGCATTTTTTTTTTTTTTCCGGTTTCCTTTGTGCCAGTTTTCCCCAGTTATTTGGGTCTGACTGCCAAACCCCGTTCTAAGCCACTCGTATGGGCCGTATCCTGCGAAAGTGTGAATCACCACAGCAAATCTGGGCAACTCTTAGGTGCCGTCTTCCCACTGAAGTGCTAACCACATCTTGTGCAACCGTACCGACGCTCTTCCAGGAAATGCATTGCCTAGTAGCACTTAAGTAAATAAACTTTCTGGAAGTTGGTTGGTATGTAGAAACTGAGTCTTCTCAGTGGAAAAACTGCTGGTTTTTCCAGTAGTTTTCAGATCACGAGGAATGCCTGCGCTGTGGGCAGCACAGGGGCTGGATGCGCTGGGTTGTGGCTCCGGCGGCGATGGGGAACGTGGTTGGGCTTTGCCTGGGGATTTGCAGCCACGGGCAAAGCAGCAGTGCCCTGACATGCCAGCCTTGCCCTAGGATGTGTCTYTCTCAATATCAGTTTCTAGGAGCTATGGCACTTGGTAGGATCAAGCAGATGTTGGATGGTGGTGAGAGSGGCAACTCGGGCAGCCCGTGGGTTGGCCTGTGGTTCACGTGCCCCGTCTAAAGCAGCTGTTTGGGGTTGATCCCCCCAGAGGCTTCATTCCTTAAACATCCTGGGATGTTTCCTAAGCCCTTTATTAAGAGGAATCCTTAGTTTTTAAGCTCCCTCTTTGTGCAGAGTGTGAAAAATATTTTGAAATCTCACGGCTGTTTCTCCATCAGCTCTGCTGGGGTGTTAGCTCAGTAAATAAGCAGGTCTTAAGGAATTTCTTTTTGCTGTAGAAAACACCTCCTTCAAGGGCTGATATCGGATATTCCGGCACTTTGGGAATAAGTACATGCTGAAAAATGGATCCGTGGAAGGAAATTAATTTTTTTCCCTCCCTCTGTATGGAGGCATGTGGAAAACATGCCGAGCGGCAACATCCGTTATCGCCCGGCGAGCGTGTCCCGAGCCYGGCACGGGAACCACGGAGCCGGAGAAGCCCTTGGGCTGAGACGGGGCTTTGCAAGGACGGGTTTCATTGCACTGCAGGGAGAGCTGCTCTGCAGCTCGGGGAAAGGAGAGGGCTGCAGCTCGCGGGTACCGGGCGGCTTTAACAACCCGAGGTTCCCGCTGCTTTTGCAGTTCTGCTCTGCTTTTAGCCGGGCAGGGAGCGAGGCGTTTTGACYGGTTGTGTGTGGACGTTATTGCTGCAGTGCAATAACCCTGGGGCAGGTCCAGGCATCGTGCAGGGGTTTTGCTGGGTGCAAAGCCCGTCCCTTGGGCGGGAGCGGAAAGTGCARTGAAGGAGACGGGGCTTGTTTCTTGTCTGACTTGCACTGACYGGCCTAATTGCATGGAAAACGTGTAAATCACTGCATTTTTACTTGATTTTTCTCTGGGGATGTGGTGGATCTCTGTTTATTTATCCTAACTCTAGGCTAGGGGCTACGTGCATGTGGAATAGCCGCTGTTTATGTGATAAGAGTCCTCGGTGTCTAGGTACAGTCCAAATCCTAAAATGCAAAAATGTTAAAGGGAGCCACAATAACCCTTCCTTAATCCAACAGGAACAAGTTGCCATATCTCAGTCAGCTGCCCTGGTGTAATGTTTTCCTAAAACCGTTTTGGCCACCAAAACAAACAAACAAACAAAAATCTTGTTAGGAATTGCTGGAGTTCTGTGACGGCTTAAGAAACTTCAAGAGCGCTTGCTGTTTTTAAATATATTTTTATTACTTTTTTTGTTTGTCTTAGAAATATGAAATCTGCATGCAACCTTCTAAATATTTCAAACATTTAAATAGCATATGATAATTTAGCAGTACAGTACATTATACAGAAAGATAACATAGGGAGATTTCCTGTAGTATATTTACAAATGGAAAGGTAGTTTTGTTATTGTATTTTAAAAAGAGGAACGCACTGCTTAACATTGAAGTATTACATTCAAAATAATGAATATGTTGTATTGTGGCTATAACRCATATAGATATTTGTTTACCCTATCATATTTTTCATAAAAAGGTACCTTTTAAAGGTTGTTTTTTGCTACAAATCTAGGAAATCATACACAATAGTCTTGAAGCTTAAAATGTCTCGATTCTGAAGCTGCAAACTTTSCATAAGAGCTTCAGGTGGAGAAAGAAGAACAAATGTTTCCCTTAGTAATAAAAACAACCTAGAAATGCTCTCTAGTGTACGCGGCGTTAACTGGGATGCGCGGTGCCTTCGCCCTGCAGCAAGACCCCAGGTCACTAACGGGCTGTGACAAGTTGCCAGGGGACCTCATTTCTGCAGCTATCGCCCTGGATAGCTGCATTTTGGAGGCGTTTTGCACAGCAAACCAGTCCTCGGTCCCCGGGTTGTCTCGCTGCATTTGAGGCTGCAAATGTGACCCAGGACCCCGGCACCGAAGCTCTGCCAGGGCGAAACGGGGAGGGACGCGACCGTCTAACACCTCTACGAACAGCGATGTTCTGTCTATTGAGCTTATAAAGCTCGATTGCAATCATAGTGAAGTATGAATGAATAACAATTTAAAAAAAAAAAAAAAAAGACCTCTTTGAGATGAAAAGCGTGAGTTTTCCCGGTCTCGGTATAAAGCAGACGGGTGTGAAATCGGAAGTGCAAGAGATGCTTGTGAAATCTGGAAGCCTTTTGCACGCGGCTATAAAATGTAAAAACTGACCCTTGGTAAAAAGTGCTTTATAATAATATAGAATCTGTGTCTTATGTCTGTGARAGAAATTGTCTTCTGCAGAGTCCAGTCCTAGGCGAGCCAGGAGTCTGGTCCGTTCCCGCGCTGTTTCCTTCTATTCTTCGTAAACCCTGGGAGGAGGGAAAGCCGAGAGCAAGGCGTTTAAACTGCTTTAACAAGGAGCAAAACAAGTCCCCTGCAGGTGATTTAAAAACTAGGAGCCAGATTTTTAACCTTTGCTTAAGGAAATATGGAAGGGAAGTTACTGCCTGCAGCAGTCGCCAGGTTCTTCTCTGATGCTTGTTGGAGTGGGGGCTCTGGGACATGTAAGACTAGGAATGGGGAGTCTGGTAATAGACTGTAACCCATGGAAAATCCCTACCTCATACAGGAATGTTAAAGGATGTCATGAGCTGCACATTTCAGTTACAATGTATGCTCTATGTCGAATAGTTGGYGTGTTTTGAACACTTATCTAGTTTGTGTCCGGAGAAGGCCACTGGACAGTGCAGTTTTCCATAAAACCCTGGGCTCCGCGGGTGACAGCAGCGGGGGGAGTGTGGGGGCAAAGCTACGGCAAATGCGGGCGGATGGCAGGGAGGTCACGATACTGCAGCAGGGGAACGCAGGAGAAGCCCGGGGCCGGGCAGAGGCCAAATACCCGGGGTATTTTACAGCCGTAACAGCCTAATCCCGAGCCCGGCGTGTGCAGGGAAAGAAACGGCATCAGGAACATGCATTATCAGTTGCAATTTAAGCATGAAGGATGCAGAGGAGCGTGTTTGCAGGGCGGGGGCCGCTTACCTGCCCTTCTCTTTCCACACTCGGTACCACTTGAGCAGGCGCACGGTGCTCTGGCGCTTGGGGTTGAGGCAGTGCTGCTGCTCGCCGCGCACCCGCGTCCACAGCGTCACGCTGCAAGGGGAGCAGAGCCCGTTAGGGCCGCGTGGGATGGACCCCCCTGCCTTCCTCAGGGCCTCTGGGCTTTGAAAAGCCAAGAGCTTCTGCTCTGCTCGGACCCCAGCGGGGCCAAAAACAGGTGGGAGGTTTTAGTGCTGGCAGCSATGGGGAGACCGTCCCGTTGTGTCTTGTGGGAGCTGCCTGTGCTGCTGCAATGGTGTTGGGCCTGACCTTGAGCTGGGTGGGTCAGTATGACCCCGAGCGATAAGTCCTACCACAGGAAGGACTGTCCATTACCTCAGTCTGTGGGTTTGCTCTGCGGTCTATTGGGTGTTTGAGTTTAATAGCTGGTTTAACTGGAGTTGCGCAAAGGCTTTGTAGTCTGAACAAGGAGATGGTTCCCTTAGCATCAGCAGTGCTGCAGCCAGGACAAACGATCACACCTGAAGCYATCAGGTGAGGCCAACCCAGGGCCTTCGACCTCCCTGGACCTGCTGGTTTCTGCTGTCCTTGCTGCAAGTTCAGTGCTCCCCCTGGCCACACGTGCTGGCAGGGGGCCCTTCCATCCCTGTGGGGTTCTCCCTGGTGGCACCACCACTGCTAAGCACTGCTTGGGCTTGCAACAACAGCTTTCAGTTTAAATAAAATGCTGTGGTGGATTTTTTTTAAAGGTTTGCGAGTTTTTAGGGACTTGAGATCAGTGCAAAGCTCCTTCATCCAGCAGCCCCCTTCTCGGCTGTGGCTAGTGGTGCTTGTAGGCTCTATCTCATGCCAGAACCAGATACCCATAGAGGATATTTCCAGAAAGCAGTGGATAAATTTAATCACAGAGAGCTGCAGGAATGCTCCTACAAAGAAACAAACCCTAATTTTGCCCAGAAGAAGTAAATAAGGACAGCCTTGGATCTAGCTAGCCGAGGAGAAGATGCGTGGTGTGCTTCTCATGTGAGCAAAGGGGCTTTCCTAGGTTTTTGCTGTACCACGTGGATGCCAGCTCTGGCTCTTGTGCTGTGTSTCTCTGCATCTGCTCCCTCCGATGCAGAGAGGGGCTGCCCAGCTCTTCTGCGGGACTCAGTGCTGGGGAGCAGGGGACTGCACAGCAGCGTGGGCATCCCCAGGGCCAGCATGGAGATGGGGCTGCAGCCCTACCAGGCTGCCCCATCCCACCTCTTGGGGTGCTCCTCATGTCTTGGCATGATCCTGCTCACATACAAGCTGCTCTGCGCCTATAAGGGCTGCGGGGGCAGCTGATATCCCAAGCAAGGAGATAATCCGGATGAGCTACAAGGGAGGGAGCCCCATCACTATGGGGTTAGGGCTACTGCCCCATGGAGCAGACCATGAATTTTGATAGACTTTAACCAGACCAAGGACCTATTTGAGCTGCCTTTTACTGTGGTTCTTCCTGGGGGGATTACATCCAAAGATGAATTTCTTCCTAATTTGCCCTTATCTACCGGTGTCTTCTCTAGCAAACCYGGTTTATATCCTTTCTCCCCTATGAAAAGATAGGAGAGCTTTCGAGGAGAGTAGAAGGAGCTTCTTGAGATAGTTTTAGATGATSGCCCCAGCAACAAGACCTCAGCTGCAGGAATTTAGCTCTTCCGTGCCCTGTCCCCAACCTTAAAATTGTTCTCGATACTCAGTACTTTGCGAGCAGGGCAGATCCCTCCCGGCAATGCGAGGGTGGCTCTGCCTGGAGCATCTCCCTGTGCCTGCGTTGCTCCAGCTCTGTGGAGCTGCCTGCTCTTTCCAGGGATTTCAGCACAGGCTGGAGCCCTTTTTAAGCTGCTCCAGCTTTCTGGGGACAGGAATCACCAGATTTCTAGGCGCAGTCTCCAATAGCCCATTCCTGCTCTGCCCTGCAGCCTCTGCTGGCATCCCAGCTCCCGTGGCTCCCTAGCCAAGAGCGGAGCCTTCCAGGCTCCGGGGGAGGTCTGGAGCAGAAAGGCTCCGCTCGCCCCGCTGCCGCTTCCGCTGCTTTTGTTAGGGGCTGGAGATGGGAAGGGACTGGGCACCGGGTGCCCTTCCAGGGGTGCGATGCAGAGGGGGGTATCGGATGGACGTGTTTGTCCCCAAAGCAGCCCGYGCAGGGGAGGGTTGGTGCCTCCTGCCTGTATTGAACTTGTGCTGTTGAAAGAGCAAAGCGAAGGGAGCAGAACCGCTGATGCGGGGCACTGCTTCAGCYGGGGATGCTCTGCATGCAGATTATCCGCCTGGGTCGCTGCCGCCTGCAAAGCGACGGCCACGATGGTCCCTGGGCTAAAACTGTTCCCGGTTCCGCTGCCGGGAAGCCGAGGGGTCTCGAGCGCTTCCCCGCTCCGTGTGCAGAGCCTGGTCCTTCCCGTGGGATGGGGCAGGGTCCTGCTCCGTGTCTGAGCTGCTCTGGGGCACAGGCTCCGGGGACCCCTCTTCCCCTCGGCTCATCCACCCTTTCTGGGTGCTGCTCAGTCCTAGGGGCTGGCAGGTSGCTTGTGGGCAATATTAAATTATCCAGAATGGGATTTAAAAACAAAACAAAAAACAACTCGGATCACCCATATTTAAGATGGGGGTGTGTGTGTGTGGAAGCACCTCTCTTGAACCAGTTGTCAGCAATGCCAAAAATCCCCCTGCCTGCCTCATTTTGGCTTCTTGCTGCCTCTCTTTGAGGCTGCACTGCAGCCTTGGTTTCTTCTTTGCCCCAAGGAACAGGGTGTTTTCCTGGGCATTAAGTAGTCCCACAAAATACCAGGGGGCTGTTTTGACACCAGGAAGGCAAAAATTGAATAGTTTTGGATAACRCTTCTGATGGCAAAACACATCACGGACTGAATTCTGCTCTTGGTCTTACCCTCTGCCTCCCAAATAACTTGAGTAAATTGTCCTAGATTTTATATCAGGCTGTTCAGAGTAGAATTTGCTTCTTCAGTTAAACTATTGATTTGCCYTTTATTGCCATTTGTTCTGTAAATACTTCTTTGACTGTGCAGACTGATATTGAAAAACAAAAGCTGGGGTTTTGATCAGAATTACCCTTAATATTAGAGCTAATACAGATGATGAGTATTAAAATACCAGGACCCAAAGCACAAAGGAGGAATTCGCAAAGGAAGGTCATGCAACAGGGCTGAGAGGGAAGCAGAAGAGGACAAAACGGCAGCACTTACATGATCATCTCTTCCACGCAGAACGGGTACCGGGGCTTTACCTCCAGCTTCCGCACGTTAGAGAACCTGATTTTAGGACCTTTTCTTGAGCATTTGCACTTTACTCCTACAAGAGAAAGGAGTTTCTCACTCGGGCGCCCGCAGAGCCTCCTGCGAGCCGGGTGTCCCTGYCCTGCTCCCGAGGAGTGTCTGCAGCCTTGGAGGGGCTTGTGAGCCCCGCAGGAAAAGCTGCTCCCAGGAATGCGCTGGAGCTCGGAGGGAAAAATTTTCCTTCTTACCCTAGAAATATATAGTATCTCCCTGGGAAATGGTGCACGAGCACCATGTACAGTCTGTGGCTTAGCCAATCTAATAGCTTTTTAAAGTGCACCTGCTATGATTAAATACAGTTGTATTTGATAAAAGCAAAATGAGAGTTGGAGCTTGATAAGCAAATGCAGTTCTTAGCTACTCTTGTTTCTTGTTTTTCACCTCGAATTTGCAGGACTTCAAGTGATGCTTCTCATTTTTTTTTCCCCTTATCATGGGTGCTCTGATGTTTCCCAGCTGCCCAAGAGCATCTCCCCATTTTTATGCCTAACCAAGTACACGCTGCTAAACCTGCTGAAATCCCTGCTAACACATCCATTAAACTCTGCTCTATTTCCTAAGGAAAAACAGCACCCATAAAGGCAAGAGCCGCGTTACCCTCCTGAAAACCACTCTGTGAGGTCAGGTAAYGTGGCCAGCACTGTCAGTGCCACTTCATCACTTGCATTTTCCCTTGAAAAGGAAAAAATAAACCTCGTGTTTGGTGCATCCCGTGTGCAGAAGGGCCCTGACTGTTCCCGGGGCTGGTACCCCAGGCTGAGCAGGGGTTGGGGGCACGGCAAGGGGAGCAGAGCGGGATTAGGGAGGAGAAGGGAAGAACGTGCACTCACCCTCGGCGCTGGCCAAGCACAGGGCGATGCAGAGCAGGAGCAGCGCGGCCGTCAGGAGCTTCATGGCGCGGGCGGGCAGCGGTGCCCGCGGCGCGGGCCGGCTCCGCGGGGACGGGACGGGACGGGACGGGCGCCGCTCCGGGCTCCGCTCCGCTCGGGTCTGCYGCCGCCGCCCCTCGCTGCTCTTAAAGCGGCTCCCGCGGCCGCGGTGCCGCTCATTAATATGCAGCGCAGCCGCGGCGCCCGCTCCGCTCCCGGCGCGGAGGGAGGGGACACGAGCCCCGGGCGGGACGCGGCGGCTCCGCGGCGGCGCCGGGGGGCGGACGGAGCCGCGGACCCACTGACCGAGCGACCCACGGACCCGCCGACCGACCGACTGACTGACAGACCCACCGACCCACCGACCCGCGGACCCACTGACTGACGGACTCGCCGACTGACGGACCCACCGGCGGATCTGCCGACTGATGGACCCACCGACTGCCTGACACACGGATGGACCGATGGATGGACGGACGGATGGACACTACTGGGAAGGGGATTTGGGAAGGGGAAATGCACCCTAGGTGCAACAGCAATAGTRGGGGGAGCAGAAATCCCCCTCTTTAGGAAAACAATCTTTGCACCAAATCTCACCTGGTGAAATTTCACCTATTTGCTATTTCCATCTCTTTCCTTTAACGGATTTCCTGATCTAAAGGAAACTTTAGTGATTTAAATATAGATTTTTTTTTTTCCGGCGATGTTTTCAGGTGTGCTTGGCACGGATTTTTTCCAGCAGTGTTGTCAGGTGTGCTTGGCACAGAGGGTATCTGGGGCAGTAATATCAGTTTAATGAGTCCTTGAGTGGGTGTCTGGAGCAGGGTGAGGGCGCACAGACCTTGCACACGTGTCTGTGCCTCTYGGACACGGCTTTCGGCTCCAGAGCCAGCCAAGCAGCGTCTTTAAAAGCCACATTGCAYTTTTATACCCACGTAGCTGCAATGAGTGAAAATCTGCTCTGCAATCCTGTTTCTGAAATACGCTATTAACAGATGCCTCCACTGAGCCCGGTGGATCCCGGGTGCTCTCCCGGAATAGCTCCGAGAGCGTTCCCGCCTCGTCTTCCCCGTGCAGCCGCCTTCCCTCGGAGTTTTGTGCATTCAGCTCACACACAACCGCGTAGCCAAAGGCAGTTGGGAGCTGCAGAGCAGGCAGCCAAGGAACTAAACATTCCCATTAGCTCCATCCCCTAATCACAACCACGAGCGCTACAAAACGCCCGGGAGCCGGGGCTGGGAATACTGCGCCGGGAGGCGCTGCCAGCTCCGCTGCGCCTYGGAGTTTCCCACGCGGCGCCTGTGCCCGGCTGTTGGCAGGCAGTGCGAGTACAGGCGCACACACACACGCTGCACGTCGCGCACAGCCGTGCTGGCCACCGCCTGTTCCCGCCAGCACTTCCCATGCAGGACGTGCTTGGATGGAGGGCTCGGGAACGCCGGGCGGGGGGTGTTTTTGGGATGGATGACCCTGTTCTGGAGAGTCTCCTGTGCCTATGGGTGGTGCAAGGGGATGGGGGAGGTTTATTTTGCTGTTCCTGGGTTGTTTGCGCTGCAGATGAGTGACTTGGGGGCTGCAAACGCATCTGGTCCCCGTGCATCGCTGCGTGGCAAGAGGGCTGAGCAGGGGCTGGTTCTGCAGCCTGCGCCTCGGATATGGGAGATATCAAATCTCCAAAAGATGTTTTCAGGATCCGATTGCTAATACGAGGCGGGCCGAGCGCCGCAGCAAGGCGGAAGAGGCTCATTTCCGATTGCTCGCGGGCCTGGGGGCCGGGAGCTCGCTGGGGAGAMGGGAGACAGCTCCAAAAATCCGCTCACGTCCCATCCAGGTGCCATAATCCTGGCCTACAGCCGCTYGGGGTTGTTTTCTCCTCCAAAAGCTTCTTTGCAGACCCCAAAACGGAAGGGAAAAGCTACAGGACAGAGGCCCTGGCTTTGCCCCTTGCAAAGGCAATGTGGATGGAGGACGTGACCACCTGAGGTCGTGTGTTGTCCTCAGCATCCCGCATGCATCCTCATGGGAGCGTGATCCTCGTCTCACCCCTAGCGCGTTACCCTCTTTGTGCAGCTGATTAGAGGGACCTTGTCGCCATTGAAAGGTCTGGAGTTTCACCCAATTAAGTATTCTTTTCAGCTCCCGGCCGCAGCATACGGCTCCCTGGTGCGTCAGGGCTTTGCTGCCAGGGTGAAAGCGGAGCCATCGGCGAGGTTGGTTTGGTGCCTCCCAGCAGGGAGAGAGATCCGCACCACAGGGACCTGCGTTGGGGGTTAGGAGAGGGACCTGTGTTGGGAATTCAGGGCTGTCCCCTCTGGCCTGGATAGGACAGGGGGCAATGGGTACAAGTTAAAACACTGGAAGTTCCATCTCCACGTGAGGAGGAACTTCTTCACTGTGAGGGTGACAGAGCCCTGGCACAGGCTGCCCAGGGAAGTTGTGGAGTCTCCTTCTCTGGAGATCTTCCAAATTTGTCTGGATGTCACCCTGTGTCCCGTGCTCTGGGTGTCCCTGCTGGAGCAGGGGGTTGGACTGGATGATCTCTAGAGGCCCCTTCCAACCTCAACCATTCTGTGATCCTGTGAAAGAAGAAAACGCAGGTTTTGCAAYCGTGTTGCCTCAAAAATCAAAAGGTTCTTGAGTCTTGGCCGACTGGAAGGAGAAGCATTTCAGGCTGAGCGTAACACTCAGCTGAGCAAAAATGAAACATTTACATGTTAAGACAAAAACCAAACAAGTGCAGCTATACAGGAGGGCCTCAGAAATACAAATGTTGAAAGAGAAGGGTTTGCTTTTATGAAAAAGGAAAAGAAATACCAACATGGAAATGGGAGAGCTCCAAATGAGCTGTTAGTTCTGCATTGGTCCCAAGATGAGGTTTGGATGTGGTCYGTCCTACCAAGCTCTGGTGCTGGCCATTCCCGAGCATCCCTCGGGGTGACACTTTCTGCTCCCATGGGAGCCTGTGGTCCTTAGTGACTTGTGACAGAGAGGGTCCCCTCTATACTCCATTAAATATAATGAAAATCGTAACTATTACTGGAAATATTTCAGTATTGCTGATTGGACATAGGCTGGTTATTTGGAGTACGGCATGAATTGCAAATTATATTGACCGTCCTTCAGKATTTCTCGGGATGTTTCCTGCAAGAAGGATGAGAAGGGCCCGTCACTGGCAGAAAGAGCTGTAAAACCGGCCACAACACCGTGATTTGCTTGTTGCTGTAGAGGCAAAGTGAGGCGAAAGGCTGAGCTTAATGTACACAAATATCCTCATCAGCCCGTCAAGGAGAAGATGAAGCCTCTGAAATGATGCCACAAAATCCCTACATAGCATSTCAGAAATTTAGCGGAGGAATTAGACACTAGGAAATGCATCAGACAGGTGGAGGAAGAGCATTTTATTGCATTTGTGCTTAGTTTTTTCTGAGCTAAGGGTATGTTCCAGGAGCGTGGTGCAACCTTGCTGCTCCGGGGCTGCTCTTAGTCACCAGGATGTGCTAAAGGTTGTGGTCAAGCCACCTTCCACCTTGACCTCCGAATGCCTTTCTTTCTTTCTTTCCCTGCTTTTTCCTAGCTCTGAGCAGTAGTTGTGTCATCGTTTTATGGCTTTGTCCAACGTAAGCTGATGACTTTGATGAAAGTCAAAGCTTCGGGTTTCATCCTTTGTCTCGGGAAACATGAAGCCTGTTTCGGGGAAAGCAGCTGCTTTCCTCCGCGGGGTTTCACAACGCACAATAAGCACCTCATTGTTCCTGCGCTCACCGCTTCCTCTGGAGCCGTTTTTATTGTGATTTTTTCCATTCTGAGGTTACGTTCTAGACGCTGCAAACAGTTTTAAGGCAACTCTCTTCATAGGCTGAAACTCTTGACCCCGAGGAGGGTTTTGCCAGCCCAGGATGAGCAGGGCTGAGCCGGGACCTCTGCCGTGTGTCCCTGGGCCACCTCGGCAGCTCTTGGTCTCACGGGGACACCAGGAGACCTGCTCCTTCCAGCGGCCGTCTGAGAGCCACCTCTCAATACTAGCAGAATGGCTTTTTGGGTTGAAAAGCAGAGGATTGTGTTTAACCTCCCAGCGCCTCCTTTCCCTGCGTGTTCCGGCTGACGTTTATTTTTACCTGTCAGTAGTTTTCACTTTACACGAGCCCCCACGAGGTGTTTAGGTGGTGAGGGGCCACAGGGGGTTATTTCCCACTCGCTCATGGGACCCTCTTGCTCCTGAGGGGAGACTCAGGGCGTCTTCCCGYGCCAGTGGTGCCGGTGCACGAGCCCCAGCTGCCCCGGCAGGGTGACATTAACCCGTCCCTTCGAGAAGAGCCAAATATTCCCAGCAGTATTCCTGGAATATTCCCGAATATTCCAGCAGCGTCTTTGCAGCTCAGGTCTGCAGGCGCAAGGGCTCCTCGTGCTCATGTGTGCGGCGCTGCTGCCTCCCTGGCAGCCGTCCGCCCTCCTCCTCCTCCTCCTCCTCCTCTTCCTCCTCCTCCTCCTCCTCCTCCTCCTCCTCCTCCTCCTCCTCYTCTTCTCYTCCTCCTCTCCTCCTCCTCCTCCTCTCCTCCTCCTCCTCCTCTCCTCCTCCTGCCAAGCTGCGGCTCTCCCTGCTCCTTTCCTTTCAGGGTCCTCTTTGCCTTCCCCCTTTCCTGAACGCTTTTTAATCTCCGCTGGACTTGAGAGCTCCCGGGCAAGGAGACTGTTTTCTTCCACGGCTCTCCATGCCAGATGTACATTTGGAGCCTCACGTAGCCTGAGTAACACAGAGGGGGCCGCGTGGAAACCCTTTCTTTTGCCCCCAGGTTAGAAACAAACCTTCCTGATTAGCTCTTTGGAGTGCTTTTTTTTTTTCATTCTGGGTTAGTTTTGGGTAATCTGAAGATGTCACCTTTCCAAGAGAGTTTTGGACTGTTACTGTGTGTCATAAATTAGAGGCAGACTCTTCCTGCACTGATTAATGCCACCCATCCACATCCCAAAGCACGAGGGAGCTGCACTGAACTGCAGCAGGTTTTATTTTTGCGATAGGACAGACCC